CTCCGCCTCCTGGGTTCAGGCAATTCTCCTGCCTCAGCCTCCTGAGTAGCTGGGATTACAGGCATGCGCCACCATGCCCAGCTGATTTTTTGTATTTTTAGTAGAGACGGGGTTTCACTATGTTGACCAGGATGGTCTCGATCTCTTGACCTCGTGATCCACCCGCCTCGGCCTCCCAAAGTGGTGGGATTACAGGCGTGAGCCACCGCGCCCGGCCAGCACTGGCAATTTTTGACAGTCTCTACGGAAACTGATTATAATTTAAAAAAATAAAATCTAGCTGGAGAAGGCTGAGCATAGATCACAGGGCCTATTATAACCTTTTGCATTTCTATCTCTAAGAAGAATTTTAGATCAAATAACACTACCTCCGCTTCTTCTTGCTCTTTTTTAAGTCGGTCTAACATCTGTTGAAATTCTAATTCTTTCTGTTTAGCTTCTTTGATGTTTGCCTGGTTCTGTTCTTCATAAGCCATGGCAACCACAGCCAGGATCAAGTTTATTAGATAAAAGGAGCCCAGGAAAATGACGACAACAAAGAAGATCATGTAGGTTTTGCCAGCAGCACGCAAAGTCTAGGGAAAAATGGAAATTGTCATTTTAATAATAGAAAAAAAATTTAAGTAAATTATTTCAATTTGACAAGCATGGGCAAATCTGACAGTTTTGTATAATCTCATTTTATCAAAAATGTAAAGAAAAAATTATGTCTTCATGGAAAACAAATATTAAACACATTTTCAGTACAAAGAATATAGCAATACAATACGCTTATACTAAAGTCATGTGTATTTCTTGATTATTAAGTGTAGTAGTATAAAAATCATGCATTTTTTTCCTACAGTCTGAAAATTACTCATAAAATTAAACCCTTTGCTCACTTTCGAATTTTAGGCCAGGTGATGTCTATAGTCCCTTTTACTGTTAAAAATCTTTCTTTTATTTCTTTACCATCAAATAATAATAGCATTAAATGTTAACAGTAGGCAGATAACCTTATTTAATTACTTTATTCATCTCATACGTATTTTTAATTAACTTTTCTTAAGTGTTTTTGCTTTTAAAATAGATTTTACTTTTTAAAATAGTTTTAGGTTTAGAGCAAAATTAAACTGAAGGTACAGAGGTTCTTTCTTTTCTTTTCTCTTTCTTTTCTTTTCTTTCTTTCTTTCTTCAGAATGTGTAATTTGTTACATAGGTTTACATGTGCCATGATGGTTTGCACCCATCAAGCTGTCATCTACATTAGGTATTCCTCCTAGTGCTATCCCTCTACTTGTCCCCCACCCCTCAACAGGCCCTGGTGTGTGATGTTCCCCTCCCTGTGTCCATGTGTTCTCATTGTTCATCTCCCGCTTATGAGTGAGAACATGTGGCATTTGGTTTTCTGTTCCTGTTTTAGTTTGCTGAGAATGATGGTTTCCAACTTCATCCATGTCCCTGCAAAGGACATGAACTCATTCTCTTTTATGGCTGCATGTTATTCCATGGTATATATGTGCCATATTCCCTTTATCCAGTCTATCATTGACGGGCATTTTGGTTGGTTCCAAGTCTTTGCTATTGTGAATAGTGTTTCAATAAACATACATGTGCATATGTCTTTATAGTAGAAGGATTTATAATATTTTGGGTATATGCCCAGTAATGTGATTGCTGGGTCAAATGGTATTTCTAGTTCTAGATCCTTGAGGAATCACCACACTGTCTTCCACAATGGTTGAACTAATGTACACTCCCACCAAGAGTGTAAAAGTGTTCCTATTTCTCCACATCCTCTCCAGCATCTGTTATTTCCTGAATTTTTAATGATTGCCATTCTAACTGGTATGAGATGGTATCTCACTGTGGTTTTGATTTGCATTTCTCTCATGACCAGTGATGATGAGCTTTTTTCCATATGTTTACTTTAAGTTCTGGGATACATGTGCAGAATGTGCAAGTTTGTTACACAGGTATACATGTACCATGGTGGTTTGCTGCACCTATCAACCCATTATCTAGGTTTTAACCCTGCATGCCTTAGGTAGTTGTCCTAATGTTCTCCCTCCTGTTGCCCCTCCCCCCAACAGGCCCCACTGTGTGTTGTTCCCTTCCCTGTTTCCATGTGTTCAAATTGCTCAACTCCCACTTATGAGTGAGAACATGCAGTGTTTAGTTTTTCCTTCCTGTATTAGTTTGCTGAGGATTATGACTTCCAGATTCATCCATGTCCCTGCAAAGGACATGATCTCATTCTTTTTTTATGGCTGCATAGTATTCCACAGTGTATGTGTACCACATTTTCTTTGTCCGGTTTATCATTGATGGGTATTTGGGTTGGTTCCACGTCTCTGCTAATGTAAACAGAGCTGCAATAAACATATGTGTGCATGAATCTTTATAGTAGAATGGTTTATATTCCTTTGGGTATATGCCCAGTAATGGGATTGCTGGGTCAAATGGTATTTCCGGTTCTAGGTCCTTGAGGAATTGCCCCACTGTCTTCCACAATAGTTAAGCTAATTTATACTCCCACCAACACTGTAAAAGTGCTCCTATTTCTTCACAGCCTTGCCAGCATCTATTATTTCTTGACCTTCTAATAATCACCATTCTGACTGGCTTGAGATGGCACCTCACCGTGGTTTTGATTTGCATTTCTCTAATGATCACTGATGTTGAGCTTTTTTTATATGTTTTAGGCTACATAAATGTCTTCTTTTGAGAAGTATCTGTTCATATCCTTTGCCCACTTTTTGCTGGGATGCAAGGCTGGCTCAACATATGGAAATCAAGAAATGTAATTCATCACATAAACAGAACCAATGACAAAAAACACATGATTATCTCAATAGATGCATAATAGGACTTTGATAAAATTCAACATCCATTCATGTTAAAAACTATAAATAAACTAGGTACTGATGGAACATATCTCAAAATAATAAGAGTTATTTATGACAAGCCCATAGCCAATATCATACTGAATGACAAAAGCTGGAAGCATTCCCTTTAAAAACTGGCACAAGACAAGGATGCCCTCTCTCACTACTCCTATTCAGTATGGTATTGGAAGTTCTAGCCAGGGCAATCAGGCAAAAGAAAGAAATAAAGGGTATTCAAATAGGAAGAGAAGAAGTCAAATTGTCTCTGTTTGCAAATGACATGATTCTATATTTAGAAAACTTAATAATCCCAGCCCAAAAACTCTTTAATTCAATAAGCAACTTCAGCAAAGTCTCAGGATACAAAATCAATGTGCAAAAATCACAAGTATTCCTCTGCACCAACAATAGACAAGCAGAGAGCCAAATCATGAATGAACTCCCACTCACAATTGCTGAAAAGAGAATAAAATATCTAGGAATACAGTTTACAAAGGATATGAAGGACCTCTTCAAGGAGAAGTATAAACCACTGCTCAAGGAAATAAGAGAGGACACAAACAAATGTAAAAACATTCCATGCACATGGATAGGAAGATTCAATATTATGAAATGGCCAAACTGCCAAAAGTAATTTATAGATTCAATGCTATTCCCATCAAACTGCCATTGACATATTCACAGAATTAGAAAAAAAAAAAACTACTTTAAATTTCATATGAAACCAGAAAAGAGGGCATATAGCTAAGACAATCCTAAGCAAAAAGAAAAAAGCTGGAGGCATCACCCTACCTGACTTTGAACTATACTGTAAGTCTACAGTAACCAAAACAGCATAGTACTGCCACCAAAACAGACATACAGAGCAATGGAACAGAAGAGAGACCTCAGAAATAACACCAGACTTCTACAATCATCTGATCTTGGACAAACCTGACAAAAACAAGCAGTGTGGAAAGGATTCACTATTTAATAAATGGTACTGGGAAAACTGGCTAGCCATATGCAGAAAACTAAAACTGGACTCCTTCCTTACAACTTATACAAAAATTGACCTAAGGTGGATTAAAGACTTAAATGTAAAACCCCAAACCATAAAAACCCTAAAAGAAACCTAGGCAATGCGGTTAAGGACATAGGCATAGGCAAAGACTTCATGACAAAAACACCAAAAGCAATTGCAACAAAGGCCAAAACTGACAAATGGGATATAATTAATCTAAAGAGCTTCTGCACAGCAAAAGAAACTAAACATCAGAGTGAACAGGCAAACTATGGAGTGGGAGAAAAATTTTACAATCTACCCGTCTGACAAAGGTCTACTACTGAGAATTTGTAAGTAACAAACACATTTACAAGATAATTAACATTTTAATTAGCAATTTTATAATGTAATATACTTTTATCATACACTGCATTTTAAAGTGAATTTAGAATACTATAAATGAAAAATAAGTCTCTCTTTCCTCTGATGAAAAATTATTTCAATTGTTTTAATTTGTGTTTCTTTAATTTTGAGTAAAGGTGATCACTTCTTGCATATTTAAAAAATACTTGCATTCCTGTTTTTGCTGTAAAGTATATCTTCATAATTTCTGTATTCATTTATAATATTCTCAGAAATTAAGTAAATATAAAATAGGCCAAAAATGAAAGAAAGAAGAAAGAAAGAAAGAAAGAAAGAAAGAAAGAAAGAAAGAAAGAAAGAAAGAAAGAAAGAAAGAGAGAGAGAGAGAGAAAGAAAGAAAGAAAGAAAGAAGGAAAGAAAGAAAGATCTGTGGCTATTCTGAGAAAAGCGACTCATTATGTGTAATGTAGAATAATCATTTCGGCCTTCTTCCTTTTGGGGTTGGCTGCTGAGAATATACAAGTAAATAGAGACCACAGCCCCAAGAGTTTCACATTTAAGTTAGAGGAAATGGCCATGTGAATTAATATAGTACAAGAGATCCATGATATAAACTGAAGAATATACAAAAAACCATGGAAGTCTACAGCAGGGAGCAAATGATTTGGGAGAGAAAAACTTAGATAAATGAATTGAGTATTTAACTGTAAATAGGAATTAAAAACTAAAACGTGATGACCAGGTTAACATTAGACAGCCTCTTCTGTTCAGGCCATCCCAAGCATGCATGTAAAACAGCGCATGTGCAGGAGCAGCTGGAGAGCACATTACAGTATGTCCTGGTACTTAACTAGGACCCATGGGATGATATGCTAAGGAAGGAAAAAGATCTAGAGATTATATATGTCCAGAAAAATAAGAAAATTATTTACGACTCAAGAACTACCCATATGATTATTGCTGGGAGTAAAACATTTCTAATTTTAGTAATAAGATAATAGAGTTTCCTCCATGCTCAAATAAATATAAATCCTCCTACTGTAAGGCTGGTAAACAACATACATAGGATACGCCATTCAAAAATACAATGCATGTTTCTCTTGACACTTACCTGTTGGTAAAGGTTTTCCCAGTAATCTTGGGTCATTAGCCTAAACAAGGCTAAGAAGGCCCAGCTGAAAGTGTCAAAGCTTGTGTAGCCATAATCAGGGTTTCTGCCAATTTTCACACAGGTGTACCCTTCTGGACACTGACTACACATGAAAAAGAACATTATAGGTGAGAGTATCTTCAGGACATAAGCTAAAGGGCCCTACTGAAGAGTTACAAACTCAAGGTTTCTTCTACAGGGGGACAATATTGAATAATGATTAAGAATACATGATTTGGAGCCAGGACGAACCAGTTTTGAATCACACTCTACTTCTGACTACTTGGTGACTTTACCAAATTCTTCAAGGCACTAGCGCCTCTGTAAAAACAGGATAGTAACATCTACCTCAAGAAAATAAGATTTTCATTAAGTTTAAATAAGATAATATGTACAAATTACTTAGCTTACTTCCTGCACACAGAAAGTGTTTTAAAAACTGTAGCTGCCATTAGCATCATCATCATTAAAATATGGAAACTTTCAACAGATGTTTTGTAACAGTTCTTCAATCAGTAAATATTGATAGGTAGGCCACTACCAAAACTCTTTCTTTACATATAATTATTGGAATGGATTAGGATAGCCAAAATATAACAATTGTCTAAATGCATAAAGATGTGCAGCTTTAAGACTCTCTTCTTTCTAAAATTGGGGGACTGTTTTTTCATGATGCCATTAAATAAACACAATATTAGTTCTTCTGGTAACAACAACCTTATCCTATTTATTCCTATGTTCCCAGTGCACACAGACCCTGATTAAGAGATGTCTGCACAGAGGGAAAAGCAAGAGCTAATGCAGCTAATGCTGCAAAATGAAGTTGGTATAAGACAGAGGCAGCAAGATGAACAGTTGAAATATATACAATATTCTTAAAATTTATGTGCCCAAGTTCAAGGAGTCCCTTTGTTTAGAGTGGCCAAAACACTACATTCAGTCACCTATGTGTCATATTTAATTGGAGAATGAGTGGAACTTGGGGATGGAAAGAAAAGTTGATTTTATGACTCTTCTTTCCAGAAAGAAGAAGGACCTGAAACTATCCAACCAACTTTTGGTGGCGTCTTCTTGAAGTAATATTTTCTACCTTCTTAAGATTTATATGACTTCTGTCTTGTGTTAATTCAAGCACCATCTCAAAGTCTTGCTTTTGAGATTATGTATTAACTATGAACATTTTAAAGACTGGATTTGCTGTGGGACAAAATAAGTCAAATAATACTGCGAAACAATATAAAATATATAAAAAGCAATGTAGAATCAAAGACTCTAATTTGCAAACTGATAGAACATGCTTTTCATTCTCTTTCAGCCCTTAGACTAAAAAGAAAACAAATATTACGTACCCTGAATCTGTGCTGAAACCACAAAGGAGAGCATCTTTGGATCCCTCCAAGTAATAAAAGTATTCTGTTGAAGAAGAATTTGAACCATTATAACATTACAAAGTTTAAGCAGTGATTGTGATAAAGCAGGTAAATTAATTGATATAGACATATAGCCAAAAATTCAGGCCTGATCCCAGGCAATATGCATCCATTTATTTATTATTTTCTCATATATTCTCCCTTAAATATTTATTGATCACCTCTTATGGGCCAGGCAATAAATATGACAATAAACATAATATAAAATTGTTAGTTTTATGAAGCATCCTTTATGTTTAGGTGATGGTGGAGGTGGAGAAAAACTTAAGTAAATAAATAAATATACAAGATATTTTCAGATACTGATAAATGATCTAAAGAAAATAAATTAAGACAAGGTGGTAGGCTGCAGTTGGGAAGGTCTTTCTAAGGAGATGATATTTAAACTAAGACCTAAATGTGACAAAGTAGGCAATCATACAAAGACTGGTGAAGAGATATTTGAGTAAAATTCTTTTACTTTTCATTCACCAAGAATGAAAGGGGAAGGGCAAGAGTGAAAGACCTAAGGCAGAGATGAAGTTGGCATGTGGAAAAGCCAGCAAGTTGGGCCGCATGGCTACTGTGTGGTGAGAGGGAGAATTGTGGTGGCAGAGGTAGGCAGAGGTCTGATCATGTAGGAATTTACATATCATTGAAATGAGTTTGGATTTTAAGTATGATTAAAGGTACCATCATGTGTCACTTTATGACTGCGATACATTCTGAGAAATGCATCATTAGGATGTTTTGTCCTTGTACAAACATCCTAGAGTGCACTTATGCAAATCTAGGTGGTATAGCCTACCATACACCTAGGTAGGCTATGTGGTATAGCCTATTGCTCCTGAGATGCAAACCTGTAGAGTGTGCTACCGTACTCAGTACTGTAGGCAACTATTATACAATGGAAGTGTATATCTAAACACAGAAATGGTACAGTACAAAACGCAATATTATAATCTTATGAGATCAGCATTGTATATGTGGTCTGCTATTGACTGAAACATCATTACGTGGTGTATGAATGTAATAAAAATGGGAAATAGAGATATGGGATATCACTGACATGTTAAAATGTCACTGTAACTACTCTGTGGGCAGTGGGCTATAGAGAAGCAGGTATGGAGGCAAGGGGACCAGTTAGGCGGCTGTAGTGAAAAGGGACATGGCTACAACTCAGAGAATAGCTGTGGATGTAGAGAGAAGGGGAGGGAAGGAGAGTGGACAGGAACTGCTAATGAAGGGCATGTGGGGTGTGTGCAGGAGAGAGTACATGGGATCTATCAGCTGGGGAGATGCTGTTGCCTGTTGCTGAGAAGAGGAAAACTACAGTAAGAAGAGGTGTGGAGAAAAACCAGGAGTTCTGTTTCAGCCATGTTTGAGATGATGGTTATTTATTATATTTTTCAAGTAAGCAGTTGGATTGATATGAGATTCTGGACATCAGTAGAGCTGTCAAGGCTGGAGATACAAAGATGGGAGTTATCATCTAATAGACAGCTTTCAAGGCCATGGGGATTGATGAGTTTACCTAGAGAGAAAGTTTGTAGCTAGAAAAGGAAAAGGAAGGGAAGAGAAGGGAAAATAGGGGAGCAGAGTAGAAGAAAGGAGGGGAGAAGAGAAAATGGGAGAGGAGGGAAAGGGGAGAGAAGGAAGAGAGGCCTGATTGAGTCCCAAAATACTCCAGAAGAGGCAGAGGCTGTAATGCAGTAGCTAAATAAATAAAATTTGTTTTCTAAAATTCATTTTACTTTTCATTCACCAATCCATACTTATTTAGGACCTACTAATTCTAGGTGTTGAGGAGATGACAATGTAATCAATGTATATTTTCCACTTTCTACCTTTCATGGTACCCTTTGTGCTAAGTTTATTTATTTATTTATTTAATTGCATTTTAGGTTTTGGGGTACATGTGAAGAACATGCAAGATTGTTGCATAGGTATACACATGGCAGTGTGATTTGATGCCTTCCTCCCCTTCACGTATATCTGGCATTTCTCCCCATGCTATCCCTCCCCAACTCCCCAACCCCCACTGACCCTCCCCTATTTCCCCCCAACAGACCCCAGTGTGTAGTGCTCCCATCCCTGTGTCCATGTGTTCTCATTGTTCAACACCCGCCTGAGTGAGAGCATGCGGTGTTTGATCTTCTGCTCTTGTGTCAGTTTGCTGAGAATGATGGTTTCCAGATTCATCCATGTCACTACAAAGGACACAAACTCATCGTTTTTGATGGCTGCATAATATTCCATGGTGTATATGTGCCACATTTTCCCTATCCAGTCTATCGTCGATGGGCATTTGGGTTGTTTCCAGGTCTTTGCTATTGTAAACAGTGCTGCAATGAACATTCGTGTGCACATGTCCTTATAGTAGAACGATTTGTAATCCTTTGGATATATACCCAGTAATGGGATTGCTGGGTCAAATGGAATTTCTATTTCTAGGTCCTTGAGGAATCGCCACACTGTCTTCCACAATGGTTGAACTAATTTACACTCCCACCAACAGTGTAAAAGTGTTCCTATTTCTCTACATCCTCTCCAGCATCTGTTGTCTCCAGATTTTTTAATGATCGCCATTCTAACTGGCGTGAGATGGTATCTCAATGTAGTTTTGATTTGCATTTCTCTGATGACCAGTGATGATGAGCATTTTTTCATAAGTTTGTTGGCCTCATGTATGTCTTCTTTTGTAAAGTATCTGTTCATATCCTTTGCCCACTTCTGAATGGGCTTGTTTGATTTTTTCTTGTAAATCTGTTTTAGTTCTTTGTAAATTCTGGATATCAGCCCTTTGTCAGATGGGTAAACTGCAAAAATTTTTTCCCATTCTGTTGGTTGCCGATTCACTCCAATGACTGTTTCTTTTGCTGTGCAGAAGCTGTGGAGTTTGATAAGATCCCATTTGTCTATTTTGGCTTTTGTTGTCAATATTTTTGGTGTTTTGGTCATGAAGTCCTTGCCTACGCCTAAGTCCTGAATGGTTTTGCCTAGATTTTCTTCTAGGGTTTTTATGGTGTTAGGTCTTATGTTTAAGTCTTTAAGCCATATGGAGTTAATTTTAGTGTAAGGTGTCAGGAAGGGGTCCAGTTTCTGCTCTCTGCATGTGGCTAGCCAGTTTTCCCAACACCATTTATTAAACAGGGAATCGTTTCCCCATTGCTTGTTTTGGTCAGGTTTGTCAAAGATCGGATGGCTGTAGATATGTTGTGTTGCCTCCGAGGCCTCTGTTCTGTTCCGTTGTTCTATATCTCTGTTTTGGTACCACTACCATGCTGTTTTGATTACTGCAGCCTTGTAGTATTGTTTGAAGTCTGGTAATGTGATGCCTCCCACTTTGTTCTTTTTGCTTAGAATTGACTTGGCTATGCGGGCTCTCTTTTGGTTCCATATGAAATTTAAGGTGATTTTTTCCAGTTCTGTGAAGAAGGTCATTGGTAGCTTGATGGGGATAGTGTTGAATCTGTAAATTACTTTGGGCGGTAAGGCCATTTTCACGATATTGATTATCCTAACCATGAACATGGAATGTTTCTCCATCTGTTTGTGTCCTCTCTTATTTCGTTGAGCAGTGGCTTGTGCTAAGTTTTCGTAGTAAAAGTTCTCATCAACTCTTTTGTCATTTGCTATTAAGGCTTGCTCCTAAGACTGGGGGCAGATCTATCCTTGCATCGTAAACATTTAAAGGACTAAAAACCCTTTTCTCATCTCTCTTAAATATCTATTCTACTTAATAAGAGCCTGACTTCCTATTTTACTCAGGTCTAAGAAAAAAATCTGATTATTAGGAGACTTTTGCAGTACTCATGGAAGAAAAACTATGAAATCAGATATTCTTGGATTTGAATGTTGCTTCTATTCCTACTTAACTGAATTATCTTTAAGCTGTTAAGCCTTAGTTGCTGCATCTATAAAATATGCATAAGAATACCTACTTTATAAAGTTATTAAATAGCATACATAGGATATTGCTTTTAAAGCACTTGATACAGTGATCCACACATTCTATAGTAGCTGCTCAAAGACAGGTTTTGTTGTAATTAGCTAAACTATTACACAATTTGAGATGAAACTATTTGCTGACTTACACATCATTATTTTATCTTACCTACAAGATGCAGATAAAACAATAAAGCCTCATAGTTTGAGGTGCAAATGTAGGTGAGAATGTGCATGAAAAGCTTTCCTGAAAACACTCCTGAACCTCAGGAAGGATGGGCCTGGTAGAGTGAGTATGGGGGAGGCTAAGATGCAATTTTGCATACATAAACATTCAAGATATTTTGTTATGGATGTATTGCTTTATAATTATCCTTTAAACTAACTCTGGTTCACGTTTCTCAACCTCTGAGGAGCTGCATTATATGAATGGGCTCTGGAGCTGTCTGTACCTGCACACTACTGCACTACTATATTTAACGCAGTACAAGAATGAGGAAAAGTGAAGCAATGTAGGTAGCTCACTCTAGGTTTGTAGAAAACTTTAAAATAATTTCTAAACAACTAGGCATTAAATTATTAGGATGGTTGGCTTCAAGAAGATATAAGGTTAACACCTTTAAAAAAGGGGAAAATTGAATGCAAAGAGAAATGAAGCATTGCTTGTGCACATTCAAAAGTGGCGTGTTTCTGAAAAATAAAGAGTGAATCATGACCTAGTAATTCCACTGCTAGGTATATACTGAGAACTGAAAACGTATTTCCACAAAAAATTGCAAATGAATGTTTACAGCGACATTATTCATCATAACCAAAAAACGGAAATAACCCAAATGTCCATCAACTGATGAATATATAAGCAAAATATGGCATATACAATGAAATATCACTTAGAAATAAAAAGAAATGAGGCATAGATATATACTATAGCATGGATAAATTTTGAAAACATTATACTAGATGAAAGAAGCCACATAAAAAGCCACATATATTATGATTCCATATATATTAAATCTACAGAGTGGGTAAATCCACAGGGACAAAAAGTAGATTAGT